GTATATATGAGCCTCCTTTAATATAGCGGTGTTTGCAGGTGCAGAGCACGCAACAAGCTTTTAAAACGCATAAGGGACAGAAAACTAGCCAAAATGAACGGAAGAATTCTCCTCAAAAGAAATTCCAGGAAGTAGCGACAGCTAACGAATTGATCAAAACCGATTCAAGCAATATAACTGAACAAGAATTTAGAATAATAGACATAAAATTAATCACTGGGCTTGAAAAAAGCATAGAGGACAGCAGAAAATCTATTGCTACAGAGATCAAGGGACTAAATAATAGTAATGATGAATTTTAAAAAATGCTATAATTGAGGTGCAAAATAAAATGGAGATGACCACAGCACGGATTGACAAGGCAGAGAGGAGAATAGGTGAATTAGAAAATAAAATTATGGAAAAAGAGGAAGCTGAGAAAAAGATAAAAATCCAGGAGTACAAGAGGAGAATTAGAGAACTAAGTGATGCGACCAAGCAGAACAATATCTGTATCATAGGAATTCCAGAAGAAGAAGAGAGAAAGGGGCTGAAAGTGTACTTGAACAAATCATAGCTGAGAACTTCCCAGATCTGGGGAAGGAAACAGGCATTGAAATCCAAAAGGCACAGAGAATTCCTTTCAGACTTAACTTGAATCGATCTTCTGCATGACATATCCTACTGAAACTGGCAAAATACAAGGATAAAGAGAATTCTGAAAGCAGCTAGGGATAAACGGGCCTTAACATACAAAGGTAGACACATAAGGGTAGTAGCAGACCTATCTACTGAAACTTGGCAGGCCAGAAAGGAAGGGCAGGAAATCTTCAATGTGATGAACAGGAAAAATATGCAGCTGAGAATCCTTTACCCAGCAGGTCTGTCCTTCAGAATAGAAGGAGAGATAAAGGTTTTCCCAAACAAACAAAAACTGAAGGAATTCATCACCACTAAACCAGCCCTACAAGAGATCCTAAGGGGGACCCTGTAAGTGAAATGTTACAAGACCACAAAATACCAGAAACACCACTACAAGCATGAAACCTACAGACATCCCAATGACTCTAAACCCATATCTTTCAGTAATAACACTGAATGTAAATGGACTAAATGCTCCAACCAAAAGATATAGGGTATCAGAATGGATAAAAAAACAAGACCCATCTATTTGCTGTCTACAAGAGACACATTTTAGACCTGAGGACACCTTCAGATTGAAAGTGAGGGGATGGAGAACTATCTCTCATGCTACTGGAAGTCAAAAGAAAGCTGGAATAGCCATACTTATATCAGACAAACTAGACTTTAAAGGCTGTAACAGGAGATGAAGAAGGGCATTATATAATAATTACAGGGTCTATCCATCAGGAAGAGCTAACAATTATAAGTGTCTACCCACTGAATTTGGGAGCACCCAAATAGATAAAACAATTAATCACAAACATAAGCAACCATGAATGTGGTAATTGCAGGACACTTTAATACTCCGCTTACAACAATGGATAGATCATCTAGACAGAGAATCAATAAAGAAGCAAGGGCCCTGAATGATACATTGGATCAGATGGACGTGACAGATACATTTAGAACTCTATATCCCAAAGTGATGGAATACACTTTCTTCTCGAGTGCGCATGGAACATTCTCCAAGATAGATCACATACTGGGTCACAAAACAGCCCTTAATAGGTATAAAAGAATTGAGATCATACCATGCACACTTCCAGATCACAGTGCTATGAAATTTGAAATCAACCACAGGAAAAAGTCTGGAAAACCTCCAAAAGCATGGAGGTTAAAGAACACCCTACTAAAGAGTAAATAGGTCAACCAGGCTATTAGAGAAGAAATTTAAAAATATGTGGAAACATGTAAATGAAAATACAATAATCCAAACGCTTTGGGATGCAGCAAAGGCAGTCCTGAGAGAAAAATACATTGCAATCCAGGCCTATCTCAAGAAACAAGCAAAATCCCAAATACAAAATCTAACAGCACACCTAAAGGAAATAGAAGCAGAACAGCAAAGACACCCCAAACCCAGCAGAAGAAGAGAAATAATAATGATCAGAGCATAAATAAACAATATACAATCTAAAAAAACTGTAGAGCAGATCGATGAAACCAAGAGTTGTTTTTTTGAAAAGATAAACAAAATTGATAAACCTCTAGCCAGGCTTCTCAAAAAGAAAAGGGAGATGACCCAAACAGATAAAATCATGGATGAAAATGGAATTATTACAACCAATCCCTCAGAAATACAAGCAATTATCAGGGAATACTATGAAAAATTATATGCCAACAAACTGGACAACCTGGAAGAAATGGACAAATTCCCAAGCACCCACACACTTCCAAAACTCAAACGGGAAGAAATGGAAAACCTGAACAGACCCATAACCAGCAAAGAAATTGAATCAGTTATCAAAAATCTCCCAACAAAGAAGAGTCCAGGACCAGATGGCTTCCCAGGGGAATTCTACCAGACATTTAAAGCAGAGATAATACCTATCCTTCTCAAGCTGTTTCAAAAAATAGAAAGGGATGGAAAACTTCTAGAATCATCCTATGAAGCCAGCACTACTTTGATTCCCAAACCAGACAGAGACCCAGCAAAACAATATTCCTGATGATATGGCTACAAAAATCTCAAAATACTAGCAAATCTAATCAAACAGCATATAAAAAGGATTATTCACCATGATCAAGTGGGATTCATTCCTGGGCTGCAGGGCTGGTTCAATATTCACAAATCAATCCATGTGATAGATCACATTAATAAAAGAAAAGATCTGCAAAGATCCTGCCAATCTATGCAGAAAAAGCATTTGACAAAATACAGCATCCTTTCTTTCAAAAAGCCCTCAAGAAAGTCAGGATAGAAGGAACATACTTAAACATCATAAAAGCCATTTTTGAAAAGCCCACAGCTAATATCATCCTCAATGGGGAAAAACTGAGAGCTTTCCCCCCTGAGATCAGGAACACGACAGGGATGTCCACTCTCACCGCTGTTGTTTAACATAGTGTTGGAAGTGCTAGCATCATCAGCAATCAGACAACAAAATGAAATCAAAAGCATCAAAATTGGCAAAGATGAAGTCAGCTTTCACTTTTCACAGATGGCATGATATTATACATGGAAAACCCGATAGACTCCACCAAAAGTCTGCTAGAACTGATACATGAATTCAGCAAAGTCGCAGGATACAAAATTAATGTACAGAAATCAGTTGCATTTTCATACACCAATAATGAAGCAACAGAAAGAGAAATAAAGAAACTGATCCCATTCACAATTGCACCAAGAAGCATAAAATACCTAGGAATAAACCTAACCAAAGATGTAAAAGATCTGTATGCTGAAAACTATAGAAAGCTTATGAAGGAAATTGAAGAAGATACAAAGAAATGGAAAAATATTCCATGCGCACAGACTGGAAGAATAAATGTTATTAAAATGTCAATACTGCCCAAAGCAATCTACACATTCAATGCAATCCCAATCAAAATTGCACCAGCATTCTTCTCGAAGCTAGAACAAGTAATCCTAAAACTTGTATGGAACCACAAAAGACCCCAAATAGCCAAAGTAATTTTGAAGAAGAAGACCAAAGCGGGAGGCATCAGAATCCCAGATTTTAGCCTCTACTACAAAGCTGTAATCATGAAGACAGCATGGTATTGGCATAAAAACAGACACATAGACCAATGGAATAGAATAGAGACTTCAGAATTGGACCCACAAATGTATGGCCAACTAATCTTTAACAAAGCAGGAATGAATATCCAATGGAAAAAAGACAGTCTCATTAACAAATGGTGCTGGGAGAACTGGACAGCAACATACAGAAGAATGAAACTAGACCACTTACACCATTCACAAAAATAAACTCAAAATGGATGAAGGACCTGAATGAGACAGGAAACCATCAAAACCCTAGAGGAGAAAGCAGGAAAAAATCTCTCTTACCTCAGCCGCAGTAATTTCTTACTTGACACATCTCCAAAGGCAAGGGAATTAAAAGCAAAAATGAACTTTGGGTCCTCATAAACATAAAGAAACTTCTGCACTGCAAAGGAAACAATCAGCAAAACTAAAAGGCAACTGACAGAATGGGAGAAGATATTTGCAAATGACATATCGGATAAAGGGCTAGTATCCAAAATCTATAAAGAACTCACCAAGCTCCACACCCGAAAAACAAATAATCCAGTGAAGAAATGGGCAGAAGACGTGAATAGACCCTTTTCTAAAGAAGGCATCCAGATGGCCAACTGGCACATGGAAAGATGCTCAACGTCACTCCTCATCAGGGAAATACAAATCAAAACCACACTCAGATACCACCTCATGCCAATCAGAGTGGCTAAGATGAAAAAAATCAGGAGACTATAGATGAGAGGATGTGGAGAAACGGGAACCCTCTTGCACTGTTGGTGGGAATGCAAACTGGTGCAGCCACTCTGGAAGACAGTGTGGAGGTTCCTCAAAAAATTAAAAATAGAGCTACCCTATGACCCAGCAATAGCACTGCTAGGAATTTACCCAAGGGATACAGGAATGCTGATGCATAGGGGCACTTGTACCCCAATGTTTATAGCAGCACTTTCAACAATAGCCAAATTATGGAAAGAGACTAAATGTCCATCAACTGATGAATGGATAAAGAAGATGTGGTTTATATATACAATGGAATACTACTTGGCAATGAGAAAGAATGAAATCTGGCCATTTGTAGCAACGTGGATGGAACTGGAGAGTGTTATGTTAAGTGAAATAAGTCAGGCAGAGAAAGAGAGATCACATATGTTTTCACTCATATGTGGATCCTGAGAAACTTAACAGAAGACCAGAGGGGAGGGAAGGGGTGGGGGGGGGGGAAGTTACAGAGAGGGAAGGAGGCAAACCATAACAGACTCTTAAATACTGAGAACAAACTGAGGGTTGATGGGAGTTGAGGGGTGGGGGGAAAGTGGGTGATGGGCATTGAGGAGAGCACCTGTTGGGATGAGTACTGGGTGTTGTATGGAAACCAATTTGACAATAAATTTTATATAAAAAATGGCTGCAGGTCATCTGAAGTGTGTAATAGCTTATCCTATTTGTTCTACGTTAGTAATTGTCCATTTGGTGTGTTATGAATATACCTCTATTCTGCATGAACTTTTCTGAAAAGTAAATGGAATGCTTCATTGAATGGCCTCTGAAAGCAAGTCTTTTGTCATTTTCTGTTGATAGGGTGTCAAGTTCCCAAACCAGAAGTCATTTTCAACTTGGAACAAGAAGAGCCATGTGTGCTGGATGGTGACATTTCAAGTCACAACTGTCTCAGTGAGTAGGGGACTGAGAGCATGGAGAGTGTGTTGTATGGGCAGCAGCTGGGCTTGTGGGGCACTGTCAGTAGGACATTTCTGTAACATTCTGCACTTTTGGAACTGCATGGTGGCGTGGGTGCAGTCCCTAGATATCTGAAGGCCATTCCTACCTTAAGGCCCCTTCCTGTATCAGTGTCTTTTTCTTTCCTTGACTTTCTAGGAGGGAATGTTCTATAATTGCTCCTAATTTGGATCTAGGATCCTGCTTTATGGTTTTTCTCCCTTTCTCTAGCATTTCTATTCTCTTTACCTCCATCACATCATGGTCTTAAATCCTTCTCTTACACATTTAGATACTCATTGATTTACCTTTTTAAAAAATTACTGTGGGTTATGCTATTGCTGGTTTCTTTTCATTTTCTCTCTTTCCCCTTAATGCTTCCGAATTGTCACTTAGAGGTGCCCTCCTGTATCATGTCCCATGTCTCTCCTCCAGCTGTTGACTTGGAGAGTACCATTACTACATTTGGGGGGCAGCATTTTACCATTTATGACATTAGTTTATGTTTCCTGACATTCTCTTTTTACTTGGCTAGTATAACACAACACTGACTTCACCTTTCTAACTAATTTACTTATTTTGACATTTTACAAAAAGTTTCTGTACTTTGTTTACAGGAAATTGAGTTAATTATATTCCTTGGTTTGTAGTTAATGTCATTATCAATGTACCTAACATTCCCCTCCCCCATTTTGTTTCTTTATTTCTCTCTTTTAATTCTCAGTCCCCATATTTGTTTTTATCCTTAGAGGTAACTCTTCTAATGTAATTGATATGTTTGCTCTCAAACCTTGAATTTGTGTTTGTAAAATTTAAATTGTTGGTATTTTTAATTTGTAGAAATGGTACTCTGGGTACTGTGCTATATGTCCTACTCAGTGTCTTTTTTTTTTTCCTCTTAGCACTAAATTGGCTCATGTTGCAATGTGTTTTTCTAGTTCATTGCTTCTTTTTTTTAAAATATTTTTAATGTGTATTTATTTTTGAGAGAGAGAGAGAGAGAGAGAGACAGAGACAGAGTGCAAGCAGGGAAGGGGCAGAGAGAGAAGGAGACACAGAATCCGAAGCAGGCTCCAGGCTCTGAGCTGTCAGCACAGAGCCCGACACGGGGCTGGAACCCATGGACCATGAGATCATGACCTGAGCTGAAGTCGGATGCTGAACCGACTAAGCCACCCAGGTGCCCCATCTAGTTCATTGCTTCTAACTGATGCATAGCATCCCATAGTGTGGAGAGACATCACATTTTACTTGTCCAGCCTCCCAGCTATTACAATTAGTACTGGAATAAATTTCTTCATGAATTATTCTTTGGTAATGAGAATTCTTGAGGAAGAGTAATGGGATTTCTTTATCATTGGGTTATAATATTTGATGAAGTATGACCACATTATTCTAGGTTGAATGTGTTATTCTACAGTCCCATGAGTGTACAAGGAATCAGTTTCTTTCCATCCCTGCCCCAGTTTCTAAGAATTTCTAATAATTTGGCTAATCCAATAGATTATAATTTCTAGTTATTACTTTAATTTGTGTTTCTCTAATGAAATATTTTGAACATCTCATCATATATCTAATAGATTCTGACTTTATTTTTCCAATTTTATTGAGAAATACATGTCATATATCACTGTATAAACAACATGATGGTTTGATTTGCATATACTGTGAAATGAACCATAGGTTCAGATAAAATCCATCTGCTCATATAGATACAATAAAAAGAAAAGAAGGAAAAAAGGGAGAATTGTTTTTTCTTTGTGATGAGAACTCAGGATCACTCTCAACAACTTTCCTACATGCTGTATAGGAATGTTAGCTCTAGTCTCCATACTGTGCATCATGTCCTTGGTGCTTATAACTGGAGTTTTGTATCTTTGACCACCTTCCTTCAGTCCCCTTCTCCTGCCCTCTGCCTCTGGTAACCACAAGTCTGATTTCCTTTCTATGAATTTAGTTTTTTTTCGATTCCACGTGTAAGTGAGATTATCACTTATGTAGTGTTTATCTTTCTGTCACTTATCTTAGCGTAATGCTTTCAGATCCATCAACGTAGTTGCGAATGGTTGGATTTCCTCATTTTTTTATGGCTGAATAATATTCTGTTGTATATGTACACTACACCTTTATCCATTCATTCATCAATGGACACTTAGGTCGTTTCCATGTCTTGACTATTGTAAATATTGCTGCAGGGAATGTGGGGTTGCAGATATGTTTTTGTATGAGTGTTTTTGTTTCCTTTGGATATATTCCCAGAAGTGTAATTGCTGGATCAGATGACAGTTCTATTTTTAGTTTTTTGATGATCCTCTGTACTGTTTTCCACAGTGGCTGTACCAGTTTATACTCTCGCCAACAGTACACAAGGGCTCCCTCTTCTCCACATCTGTGCCAGCATTTGTAATCTCTTGTCTTTTTGATGATGGAAATTCCAACAGGCATGAAGTGATATTGCATTGTGTGTGTGTGTGTGTGTGTTTAATGTTTTTATTTATTTTTGAGAGAGAGAGACAGAGCATGAGCAGGGGAGGGGCAGGGAGACAGAATCCGAGGCAGGCTGTAAGCTCTCAGCTGTCAGCACAGAGCCTGATGCAGGGCTCGAACTCATGGACTGTGAGATCATGACCTCAGCCGAAGTCGGATGCTCAACCGACTGAGCCACCCAGGTGCCCCTCGCATTGTGGTTTTTTTTTAAATTTTTTTTTTTCCAACGTTTTTTA